CCATCAAAAGTACAAATCATCTAATAGAAGTCAAAAGTACAGCCATCAAAAGTAAAAATCATGTAATAGAAGTCAAAAGTACAGCTATTAAATATTCAAATCATATAATAGAAGCCATAAGTACAGCCATCCAAAATACTAATCATGTAATAGAAGCCAAAAGTACAGCCGTCAAAAGTACAAATCATAAAATAGAAGCCAAAAGTACAGCTGTTAAAAGTACAAATCATGTATTAGAAGTCAAAAGCACAGCTATTAAATATTCAAATCATATAATAGAAGCCAAAATTTACAGCCATCAAAAGTATAAATCATGTAATAGAAGCAAAAAGTACAGCTATTAAATATTCAAAAAATATGTAATAAAAGTCAAAAGTACAGCCATCAAAAGTAAAAACCATGTAAAAGAAGTCAAAAGTACAGCTATTAAATATTTAAATCATATAATAGAAGTCAAAAGTACAGCTATTAAATATTCAAATCATATAATAGAAGCCATAAGTAAAGCCATCCAAAATACTAATCATGTAATAGAAGCCAAAAGTACAGCCGTCAAAAGTACAAACCATGAAATAGAAGCCAAAAGTACAGCTATTAAAAGTACAAATCATGTAATAGAAGTCAAAAGTACAGCTATTAAAAATATAAGTAGTATAATAGAAGCCAAAAGTACAGCTATTAAAAATATAAACAATGTAATAGAAGCCAAAAGTACAGCTATTAAAAATATAAATAATGTAATTTTTCATATGACTTGTCAATGTTTTATATAACATATAAATATCGCTATATTATAGCGATATCTAACAGATATCAACAATTAAAATAATGCGATAGAATTCGAGATTACAACACGATTTATCCCTGTCATCTATTTTATATCGCTAATCATAAATTCTATCTCGGGAAAAAACTCGGTTTTAAAAGCCAAAAGTACAAAAACTATAATTACGGCAACCGTTTATAATTTGAAAACCAGGCGTACTTTTGACTTCTATTATATATTGCTTACCGAATATATGTTGTTCTTGTTCTTGTTGTTAGTTCTCTTTGTATTGATACATTGAGGTTTTTGCATTGAATGACAATTTTATCCACCTGATTTTTGTCCTTATCAATTGCAATTTTGATCCAAGTTTTGGTAAAATGACTGTCAAGTTTTTTGCTCAACTAGTCAAACTTGGTGAAAAAGTCTTTTCTACAATCCGACTTGAAATAACTTGATTTAGAGTTGACACCAGCTTTTTCACGCCAGAATTGGACAGCCCTTTGTTGTGTTGCACATAATCAAGATCTTTTGCTTTCAGTTCTGGTTCTTTATTGAAAAGTCTTCTTGCATTTAAAGGTAAACTTTTGAAATAATTAAAAACGATTTTACATTATTATGCATTACATAGACTTAAAATATGAAGTTAAAACTTTAAATATCTAATACAATGTTACCTGGAAGATCTGGAATAGAGAAGCGTCCTATTCCCATTTGGTCTATTAAGAAGAACTATTCCATGGGGTGAAGCTTCCTTGTTGGCAATGTCTGATGCTGCTACTCTTTCAACTGCAACAGAGTCCTTTGACACAACTTCTGCTAAATTCTTTCGCAAAGTGGACTTTGAGCAACTGTGTGAAAGACCCTTGCCAAATATTGAAAAGCATTAAAACCATCTTCTTTCAACTGAGTTCTGGTTTGCTTTCGGTTTCTTGGTTGCTAAGACTGGATGTGGGGAATTGTGCCTTGCTTTGGAGAACTGAATCTCTTGTAACCGGACGGACTTTGATATTGGAGAAATCAAACAGCTGAAGTTGGGTTCAAAGCTTTTCCTCCTCAAGCCTCCTAAGGTTTGAGCGGCAATGCTCACAAATGCCAGTTGGGACATTTGGATTATTAAAGTCAATTGGCTGGTTCAGAATTTGTTATAGTAAATAGCATTGATTTTTTTCTGGTTTAATTATACATTTATTTAGTAGTAGATCTCATCAAATAATATTATAGAACACTTAATATCTCATCAAATAATAAACAAACTAATCAAAAACAGGCAAATTTTATTCTGTAATACAAATTAAATCACTCATCATCTTTCCATGGGTTGTTGAAGTGATCTACAATTGAAACAATAAGTAGTGAATGCTCTCAGCAAACTAAACGGTTATTGTCCTCTTTAGACATAACCTGATCCGTTGCTTTATACATATATGTGTGATTGGTTTATCAGTATTACTTACATCACAATCAAAATGATGATTTTGCTCCTGCTGTAAGTTGTTTGAAAGAACTTCTTCAAGCCGCTTTAGGGCAATTAGAGTTTCGTATTTGCAATAATGACTGTATGTGTTCGCATTTCATCACATTTTACAAGTCGCCAAAGAGAAAACAAAGTTTCGTTCTTAAAATAATGAAAATTGTATTTGAAATAATAAAAAATGACTTTATGCGTTTTTATAATCCGCTAAATTGCGAATTACAATTCTTAAATTTATATACTAACAGTTAATATATGTAAACAATTTAATGTCAAATTGTAATACAATAATAAAAAGTTGGTAATTTTTAAATTATTTTACGTATCTAATAAACTTACATCAAATTACCCACAAAACAAATATGTCATTTCTATACCACATTGTATATGTAAATACCTTTAAAATCTGCGCGTATAAAATCAACTTTTTTTTTAAATTGACATCATTTTAGTCTCAATGTCTCCCCCTTTTCTCCGTTGCCAACTCTTTCCTACCCCCATCCCCCCTCCTTTATTTACTGAGATTATTTATGGATAGCCTCTTTATTGCAAGCATTATACGTCAGAGTTTAATAGATCATTGTTAAACTTATTATTGGTTTCCATTTATTTGCGTATTTTTTTTTCTTACTTTTTACAATAAGAACTGAGACTATAAAATATTTTCATCCTATTTTAGACTAAATGTTTAAACATGTATACCTTTTATTTGTGTTAATGATGCGACAGTTTGAATAATATACAACGGTTTTCAAAACGCTATACTCCTGCTTGAAAGATTAGACGACTATTTCTTATTGAAAGTATATTAACTATGAGTTGTTGAGATATTAAAAAACTGCATGAACTCTGTGAAAGACTTTCATAGTTTCTGTTTAGTTGGTGATTCTGTATAAAACTTATTTTTTAATAACATTTTATTAATGCAGATAAAATATTTTATAGGTAACGAGAGTTTTAATCAGAGTTGCTAGAATAATTTTATTGGCCTTAAAGCCAATAATTAAGGCCTTGGTCTTGAAATTGTTGACTTTAGACAGTGCTTCCTTTCGTGTTTGCATCTTAAACTGTTTTTTTTTTCAACTTATCTAAATCTTTGTGTTTGCTACTTTGTCGGAGCACCAAACGTCTGTAAGGGAGATCATACCAAGTAAAAAAGACGTCTTTTAAACATCTTATACACGTTTTGGACGTCTTTTTTAGGTCCGGTGCCCACTGGAAACTAAAAGTAATTCTGCATCCAAAGATAAAGTGTTTTTGTTTATGTTTATAAGTAAACTTTAAACTTTATGTGTACTACAGTAAAAACATTTTTTTTTTTGAAGTTCAGATTTTATGCTTTGAATATCGAAATGTGCGTAATCAAATTATTTTTTGCCTAAGAAACTTTTATTCTTATAATGATCGTTTAATAAAGTTTTATTCACGGTTTTAAAAGCATTTTAAACTCAGTGTTTATAAGTCTAAACCTGAAACAGAACTTTTCTAAAAAAGATAAAATGTTTAATTTTTTTTTTAATTATTCTTTTTAGCTTAACGAGTAGTTTAACTTCTACCATTTTTTTTACTATATTTAATCCGAATTCTATATATTATTACTCTCGATACTTAAAATGACAGTTTAAAACTGCTACTTATGGCGAAAGAGAACAAAAAATGATTTTTAAATGTAAAAGAACTTAACTTAAAACCAGTACAAAAAAATTAAAAATTACAAAAAAAGTATTTTTACTTAAAATATTTGTTTAATATTTATTATCATTTTATTTAAAACATTTTGATCGATTAAGTAAAATTTAAAATCGATTTGAAAAAATAAAAACGTCAGATGAAATTTGAAATATCGAACTAAAATCTTCGAAGAAAAATTCTACTAGAACATCGAATTTTTTTATAATGTAAATGACGAATTAAGAAACAAAAGCGAAAACCTTAAAAGGCTATTTTTTATAAACATATATTTTTAACATAAATTTATGTAAAAAGTGTATAAAAAGTGCAAATCTAATAAATAAAAAAATTTTAATTTTTTTTTATGAAATTAAATTACAAAATTCAAACAACTTAAAAACTTATGACTTTATCTTAAATATAGTGCGATATTTAAAAAAGAAATTGATAATAAAATAAATAAAATTTACCATTTTATTTTAATTTGCATATTTAGTGAAAATTCATAAACATAATAAAACATAAAAATATAAATAAAATATTTAACAAATATTTATTAACAATATTATTTAAAAAATTATATAATAATAACATAATAATTAAAAACTGAAAATATAATATTTAAAAAACAAACAATAAATCATGTACTGTAATTTAAAATTATACAGGTATAATATTATTAATAATAATAATACTAATATATATATATATATATATATATATATATATATATATATATATATATATATATATATATATATATATATATGAAAATTTATATATATATATATATATATATATATATATATATATATATATATATATATATATATATATATATATATATATATATATATATATATATATATATATATATATATATATATATATATATATATACTATAATAATATATTTATTAATTCATATTATAAGTATAACTATTAATATATTTGAAAACAAATTACTTATAGAATATTTTAATAATAAAAAACTAAACTTTTAAATATTAAATCAAATAAACTAGTAAAAATAATTTGTTTATTTAAAAACGTATTTATTATAAAATAATACATTAAATATTTCACTAGTTATTTATAATTATTGTTTTTATTTATAAATTTAAGGTATTAAATATTTTATCGTGTTGTAAAGCTTTTAAATTCATCGAGGTTATTAAAATAATTTCCACGGTACCAGATACTAAACCTCTTGACATTCGAACAACGAATCCATTCATAAATTTTTTTAACAAAATCAATGTCTTTGTGAAGTTCAAGTTTTAATTCTTTACAAAGATTAATCCACGGAAGAAAATTTTCTTCAAAATCTTTTTTTGTTATTAAATAATGTGAGATCCATATATTCAACACTTCAATCTTATCTTTCGGTTTCCATCCTTCGAAATTAATTGGACGATCAAAGTTGACTTCGCGAACATTAGTTGAACATTGTATTAAAAGTTTTTTTTCTTCATCACTTAAAATATTTTTATAAACACTTAACCACGATAACTTTCTTCCAGATTTTACGTAATGATTTATGAAATAATTTTTGCAAGAAGTTAAGTAAGAAGTTTCTCCATCCTTAATCGAAATCCACCACTTTACTCGTTTATTAACAATTGATTTAATTTCATCATTAAATGAAGATTGACTTTCATAAAAACATTCATTGAATAAATCACGGCAATCTTCAAAGCCATCCCTTTTACTTAGACGATCTACAGTAAAATTAAATATTAATTATAAAAATAAACAAATAAATAAAATAATAATCAAAATTATAACATTGTATATATTATAATATTCTACATATTCATACATATAATTTTTATTAATTTATGATTGAATAAAAAACATTTTTTATTTTTATTTAATAGAATTTTATACAATAATATTATATACATAAATTAATATTAAATTAAAATAATATATTAAAATTTTAAAATTGTGAAGCCTTTAAATAAAATAATTCTTAAAAAAAAAATTAAGACAATTTTGTGAATTTATCTCATTTTAAAAATAATTTAAATATAAGTTATAAATTAAAGATATTAACATAACATAACAAAAATAAGAACGGTTCACGCACACATAAAGATTCATTAGGAAACACTTACACATCAATTCGAAAAAAAAATACGAAAAATTCTTGAATTATAATAATGAGACATTTACACATCATCGTCAACACAATTTCATCATTAAAGCATAGCTACAAAATGTAATATATATAATAAATAAAAACAAACATAAGATAAACTGATAAAATAAATAAAAAATTACAATAAACCACATTTTGTTTTAAAAAGTAAAATTAAACCCATGTAACAATCATTTCAACGCAAAAAAGAAAATAACTCCTCATTCACAACTGTTTCATATAAACAATATTTCTTTGAAACTTTTTGCAAAAGAAACACAGGTTCTTGCCAAAATATTAAACTTAGATTTACTTATTAAACTTATTGTACAAATATTGTAAATATTAAGAACAAAAATAAATCGATTAAAAATAAACGGTTGAAAATGCAATTGAATAATAGCTGAGTATATTTTAAAATTAGTATGACATAGGTACATATATACCTTTATCATACTGTACTAGTTTTTTTGCATACTAAAGCGTGTTAAACATTTTCTTTAATTAAAAAATTTGTAAAAACAATGTTTTCTACGTGAAGAAAATATATTTTTGCAGCGCAGAGTTTTTGTGGCGTAGATAATATCTAACTTCTACTTCATAAAAGAAGAATATTATTTAAGGTTTAAATTTTTTTTTTTTTGCACCACTAACGTGTTGAAGGCAGGTTGATTTATTTGTCAACATATTAATTTAATTTTCTACATCTATTTTCAATTTACCTATTCATAGAAAGAAAACTCACTCTTTCATACTCAATTATTTTATATTATATCTAAGTTTATATTATTTTATATTATTTCCCATTTTATATTATTTCCGTATTTCCAAGAGGAAACTCATATAACAATTTAATACATTAAAAAAAAAAAAAAAATTAAAGATTACAAAACTTCAATTTCCTAAGCGCGATTTTTACATGTTGCATGTTGCAATATTCTTGCAAAAAAATTTCATACTCAAATGGTGATGAAATATTGTAAAAATTAAAAAGAATAAACTTAGAGATAGAAATCAAAATATTATAAAAAATGTTACATTAAATTTAAAGGTTTATATATTTTAGCACTTAAATCTTGTATATTTATTATATAATTTAACTAATATATCAACAACAAAAAAATACTTATTATCATCAATTCTATACAATAGATAGTTGGGCGGACCTGTACTCGGCGCACTCTAAACTCGGTGAAGTTCGTAAACGAACTCGGTAAAGTTCGAAACAATAATTTTGCCGTTTAATGATTGGCTAATATTAACGAATGAAAATTTAGCACAAAAGTTTTAATTCGCGCTTCAAAAGCCAATTTTATTACCGCCTTTAAAATAAGTAAGATGACACCTTTAGCTGAGTTCATTGAAAGTATCAAAGAAGAAAAATTGGTTGATTTTTTGCAACAAAAAAGGCTAATGCCACTTCAAAAACTTTGTCTTTGTGGTCAAAGGATGCTTGTGCAAAATTATGAACGTTGTCAAGTATGAATACTTAACACTTTTATTATTATTTACACAAAACAGATTATCCCTTGTATCTTCAAAATACTTTATTTAAGGAAAAACATATTTGGCGATGTAACACTTGCAAAAAGACGAAGTCAATTCGAGCAGGATTTTTTGAAAGCTCTACATCTTTAAGTCTGATACTTCATTTTTACTTATTACTGTTTTTATACTTATTAATGTTTTTATGGATCCTGGAGGTCCCTGTAACCGCTGCATCTGAGGTAGTAGGTGTAAACGAAAAAACCTCAATTCAGTGGTATCAATACTTCCGGGACATTTGTTCATTTAAAACTATGGATGTTGCTGCTGCTAATCAATTAGATGGTCCAGGGCTCATTGTAGAAATAGATGAATCTTTATTTTTTAAACGAAAATATAATGTTGGGCATAACGTTGAAAAACATTGGATTTTTAGGGCATTTGATGTAACTAGTAAGAAAGGATACTTAAGAAGGGTAGAGGATCGAACAGCTCAGACATTAGTGCCAATAATTCAACAATGGGTTGCACCTGGATCAATAATACATTCAGATCAGTGGGCTTCTTATACTAATTTAAATAACTTAGGTTACAATCATTTCACTGTAAACCATACAATAAGCTTTGTTGATCCTGACACTGGAGCAACAACAAATCATGTTGAGTCGTTTTGGTGTAGGATGAAACGAAGGTAAAGTATGTTTTTGGATCACAGGGTGATTTAAAGTGGTCTAGGCTAGATGAAGCTGTATACAGAGAATATTATGACTTTTATAATAAAAATGTTTAGGAAAATTTCTCTTTATTCTTAAAACATATTAATGATAGGTATCCTCTGTAATGTAAAATAAGTATTATAATATAATATTTATATTGAAAGTGTTTCATAATATTTATATTGAACTTGTTTTTTTTTTTTATGTACAACACAAAATATACGTTGCAAAAACTAAAAGAAGATAAGCCACAAAAAGATATGCAAAGAAGATAAGCTACAAGAAGATAACTGTAGAAGATCGATTAAAAGAATATTAGACACAAAAAGAAATGTAAAGAAGAGAAGATACGAGAAAATACCTTTAGATGATCGATTAAAAGAAGATAAGCTACAAAAAGAAATCTTAAGAAGAGAAGATACCTTTAGAAGATCTATTTAATCTAATATTTAATGTATATATGTTGATAATTTGTAAAATTTAATTTTTTTTCTAAAATGTTAAATTTTTATTAAATAAAATTTACGCAAGTTTTTGTTTTTTTATTTTCGACGTTATCATTATGGCGCGAATTAACGTAATATTTTAGCGCCTATTCTGTAAAATACCAAAAGCGAACACCAAGAATATTCGTTTCGAGAATTAACGAACTTCACCGAGTTTAGGGTGCGCCGAGTACAGGTCCGCCAATAAATGAATCACTTTCTCGTAGCTTAGTAAACTAAAATGGCGAGCTCTTAAACTAAATCTCAAATCAAATTTAGCCGAAAGCATATTTGCTTTTTATTTAATTAGGTTTTTGTTTTATTGATTGTTGTTATTAATTCCATATACATTATTGCACCACAGACAATGCAGATTAAAACTGTTATTTAGCTTAAACCTCGCCTATTTATGTGAATATAAAATTAAAATACTATTTAAAATACTATAATTACTAAAACAAAATTTAGATAGTGTTAACCTAAATACTAGTAGTCTACTCTAAACTATGCTTTTAAATACTGGGAAAAAATCTTCTATATTACATAATTAAGCTCACCTGGCCACTGTTTTAATTCTCATTTATGCAAGTTTGATTGTGAACTACTTTGACTGTAAAATAGATAACTTAAGAACACCAAAATCAGTTTGTTTTGGCTGCAAAGAAGTACAAAAGAATTAATTTTCACTCTGCCTAATGAAAACAAATATTAGTTTGTTTCGGAATAAAGATGAACTATTTAAGTTAAGTGTATCTAATCAATTAAAAAAGTAAATTTATACTATAATCAAAAAAGTAATTTTAGATCTGTCACAAGAGGAGCTAAAATCTTGCTTATTTTGTGACATCATTTTTCAGATCTGCAAACACATAAGCAAAGAAATAACATAATTTAAAAAACATAAAATTGGCCAAGACCTGGCTTGTTTTATTTAGCAATAATGGAAGCAGAGGCTGACTTTAAGAAATCAAAAAAATTTTGATCAGCTTGTAAAAAAGGGAAGCAAAACCGCCTACAAAAAGCAAAGCAGATGGACTGACACACCTAGATTTATTCCAGAACAATTTGCCAAGAAAGCTAATGAGGAATAATTCAATTACATTAGCCTAAAAAAAAACTGGAACTATAGTAATAAAAACTAACAGAAAAAAGAATTCCCAGCAAGAAATGAGGAAGTCTTATCCTCCGAAGATGTTGTTTAAAAAAGTGTGGTTGATTAACAAAAGCCTAGATTACACACAAATATTTTAGAGAAAATGATACAAGATAAAAAAATGTAACAATTAAAATAATTTTGAAAAAAAAAATCACCAGCTAAAAGGTTTAAATGAACATTAAGTTGCCCTCTTAACATGAGAACAATTCAATGTAAAAATATCTAGGGCATGCCACCATAAGTCTCAAATTTTGCTGATTTTTACACCACTCAAAAATTTTAATAAGTTATAAGTATATTCCCAAAATTTTATCATTTAATCGAAATGGTTTTGAAGATATGACTATTCAAACTTTGCCTTGAAAATATCGGTCTGAATAGTTTAGTTAAAGTTGTAACAAAGAATTGGAGAGTGGACTTTTCTTAAACAGAAAAAGAAAAAAAAAAAAAGGTCAAAATTCCTTAAATTTTTTATAAATAAAACATTTATAAAAATGAACAATTATAAAAAAAAAAGACATAAAAAGTTGATACTCATAAGTGCATAATACCCAGAAGTTGATGTTTAACAATTTTTGGAAAATTTTTCTACCCACCCTAAGCTTATTAAGACCTCCTTCCCCTATTATTTAAATTTTACTCAGGAATGTGGAGTTCCAAAAAGAACACCGCTTTAAAAGTCACAAAACAGTCACTTCTTCCTAGTTATTAGCATCCAGGAGCTTTTAAAATATGA